AATAATAATAATAATAATAATAATAATAATAATAATAATAATAATAATAATTTGTGCTAATGTTGTTAACACCAAGTCTCACTTGGGTATTTAACTTCTACTTTTCAGATGTCAGCTAAAATTTTTTTATTTTATTCAACATTTTGACAACTGTATTGAGTTTTTTAAGTATCGCCATACATCTTTTTAATAATATGACACCACAGAAAACTAGCTTGGACTAACTGTGGTTCCCTGTGCTACGTTCACTAAAATGTACCTGCTAAAATCTCGAGGCTTGCTTGAGCCCACAGACTTCTGGGATTTTGGTCAGCGGGCTGGCGGTTAAGACAAAGCAGAGAGGCGCTAGCTGGGTATGACTCTGGGTATGAGCTTGTAAAAGGTCCAGCTGAGCCCTCCCCCTTTTTAAATAGCGAAAATAAAGACGAATAATTTACATAACAATGCGCACACACGCCTCCAAGCCTTTGTCGTAGTTTTGCTCCTGTTACGGAAGAATAACTTCGTGATGACCTTCCCACAAGCACCTGTTATCCGTCTTTGGGGGGTAACCAATCAAAAAGCTGTCCCAAATTGAAAGTTTTTTTAATCAAATTTATACTATACCTGCTTTTATCTGGACAATACTGATTATCAGTTTATTCCAAGTTATTTTTGCGTGTACAGGTCATAAAGGGTTTTGGTCTTACAGAAAATGTATTGACTTACGAAAAAATGTTTAAAATTTACCTTAAACGACTTCAAGCTTCTATCTTTTTCTGTCTTTTACTTCTTCATTTTATTTTTGGATATTGTCAACATCGTCTGATCAGCCTTCAGCAAAATAAGGGGCTTTTTACCCTCTGGTTACCCCCCAAAGACGCAAAGTATTATGGGGATGTGCATGAAAGTACGGAATATAACTTCGATGCACTGATGTATTTGCTAGAGCGATCTATCTAATAATTGTCTTATCTCTTGCAATGTTCAAAACAAACAGAACTTTTATCATCTATTAGCACTTTTTTGTGAAAAGAAAGTAAATGAGACCAATATTCATCATTATTAATGGTGTTGGCTGATATTCATCACTATTAATTTTATTGATTAATTTTTAAGTCAATACATTTGAAAGAGTGTTGTTTGCTTTTATCGTTCTTTGACTATATTAATTTCCCTTGGACGTATAACACTGTGTGTGGTAGCCCTAGTGTTACGTGGCTTTTACCACATGACCTTGTAGACGTAGTTTGCCCAGTTCTTGCCCACTCCCTTGTAACAGTCCACTGAGTAGCCATACTTCTGATAGCTTTCGTCATCCCCAACCCAACACTCGCCGTAGAACTGAATGGCAAAGTAGGTCTTGCCTGCTTTCTTGGCTGCTTGATAACATTTTTCCACTACAAAAAAGAAGATGAAAAGAATATAATGAAGTATTAACTTTAAAATGCATATTTAATAAATAAGATAACTTTTCTGTTATCTTTAGATCTAACGAAACTGTAATGTCTTTCTGAAACAAATCGGGGAAAATGGAGATATTTTAAAACTAATAACAGACTATAAGAATCTTGTTTTTGATTGGGTGATTTGCAAGTGTGCTTTAAGCGCAGCTAAGCGCGGTTAGAAATTCATACATCCTGTAATGATCGCTTATTTATTATAATCAACGCGTCTTCATCCATTCTCCACTAACGCGTGGCATTTCCTAAATAAATTAACTGTACCTGTGATCTCTAGGTGAAACCAGTCGATAGAACTTCGGAAGTTTTTGAGAAGTGTCATAGTGCGACCTTGTTGAGGCTTGTCGTGCCAACATCCCAGGTCTTTCCATGGTGCAAAGCGGTACACAAAGTTATGAGACTGCCCTCCAACTCCTGAAATTATTACAACAATAAGTAGCTATATAGTTCGCAATATTTATCTAAAACTAACTTAAAATTAGCACTGACATAGTTATCGAAGTTACGAAGCTATTTGTTTACGAAGCGACGTCTGTTATTTTCTTATTGTTACAAATCAGAGTATATTTTCCTTAATACATTGGTTTAAAACGGATTTTGTGAATGTTAAGTGCTATTAAAATGGAGCTTCCCTATTTTAAACTGGTTTGAGTTTAGAGCCTTATCCTCCATCGATTACCCCCTCCCCCATAGCTCTTACTCCTTTGATTTTCATTTTATTATAATTTTTGAATCACGTGTTCCGCGGTTTTCGCCACATCTCATAGTGTGGTTAACATTTTAAAAAATAAACCATGATTGGGCGAAAGGTTATATATCTAAAAACTAAATTATGATTGTCCAGACCTTCATAGCATTTCGTTCCTTTCCCATGAACGTCGAATTCCAAATTGGCTGTTTTTGATCCCCAGCATTCACCAAAGAACTGGATACCAAAGTACTTGTACCCCTGAGCATGTGCACCCTCGGCACATTTCGTAACCATGCTCCTAATGTTGTACCAATCGACTTGTTTTCTAGCGTTCAGGTAAAGGTCTGATAATGCACGCCCTTTTGGTCCTATCGCCACGATGTCTCGGTAACAGCCCACCTCAAGGATTTGTGGCACACCTATTATAACGTGAACCAGGCATTCATTAGTCATGTAAGCACGTGACCAGTCAGTGAGTAATGAAAGAGATACCTGGGAGTCACGTTACATCAAAGCAAGAAAGTGCAGGGCTAATTAATAGCAGCTGATGAATGTCTTGCGATGATTTCTGTTGTCACATTTAAGCCAATCACGAAGCGTGCGACTTGACAGATATTAGGTATATTTTGCATATTTTTACAGTAGCATGAAGACAGTTTATATTTAAAACCTAATTTACATACACACTACGAGCACGTGTGCTAAGAAGCTTTCCACTCGGGTCGATAAGAAGCGAAAGAGAGAACGATACAAAATAGCCGGAAAGCAGTGATTAGTGCCAGACAATAGTAATGGTCGCCTCGTAGTGTATAAGACATAGTATCAGACATTGACGGGTGCCTTGGGAGGGGTTAGCATACCTTCATGAAGACATTTAACGCCTGCGTCTCTACTGTGCTTACACCAAGTCTTTCCAAAACCACTATGTTGACAATCAAGCAAGCTTAGCTCGTTTCCTTTGCAGGATACGTTTTCTATCCAGACAGGGCCGGTACCTTGTCCATACTTTGCTTGCCTTTGAAAAGAAAAATTGAATCGTTTAGTTGCATCAGAAAAAATCTGTTAACATTTGGTCAGCTACGATTTCAAGCTCACGCCCCTCATGTGAGTCCATACACTATTATGTCTCAAAAACACGGTTTTTGGATCTTGGCAAAAAAACAGAAGTGGATTCAGTTAATTTATCTATTCACAGACTGTATTATATGGTTTAGATTGAATTCTATTGAAAAAAACCACCGTACTTTTTGAGCTAGAAAATCTATATTGCTATGCTATATAGCTTTACTTTTAAGAAAAGGAAAGAGAGGAAAAAGACCGAAAAGAGCAAATATTACAAATGTATGGGCAATTGTTTCCAATGCATAAGCAGGACAGGAGGGAAGGAATCTCTGATATTCATGAATGTGACGATCATAAGCACCGTTTGATGCTATTTTTTAAAATATTATTATTATTTGCTAAAATTTAAATTTTGTCATCGTTTGTTTTCTTTCTGTTTTTGATCCCCAGGTTCTCGGCATGAACCCGGCCAGTGGTCGTGGGGCCGATAACGATTTCTGAATTCGCCATCACTTGTTAATAGAGTTTGTTGGCCGAGTTTCGCCTTGATTCTTTCTCGCTCCGCTTTTCCTCCCTCCGCTAAAATAAACCTTTAAATTTTGATGCGATTTGACGCCTAAACGGTCTTAAATACGCGAGCCGTCCTGGCTCTGGAGACCTGAGCAATTATCCCTGCTCTTCGACGAACGATAAATTAGTTTTTCTTTACCTAGTTTCATGAACGGCTTTGATGAAACCCATTTCGATACATACGACCTCAGCATCTTTCTTGTCCCAATTGTAGTCACAGACGGAACCCCACTGACCATCGTGGAAGATCTCAACCCGACCTGTACCATTGCCCTTCATGCCATCTGGCTTGACTAGTCTTACTTTCTCCCCTGAAAGAAACAACCAAAGCGAGTCATTCTTGATTTGTATCAAATTGGTGCCGAAAATATAAATTATTCGTTGCTAACTGTAATCCATTGGACTGAAATGATTACCCAATCGAGAAGGCTTAGTTTGACTAGTCATTAGTCATAATCGACAACATAGACAATGAAAATAATACGAGCTTACCTGATTCTCGCTTGGTTAAAGCTGCAAAAATTAAATAAAATTAGCAGAATATATTCAATCGTAAGTCACTTGGGATTAGGGTTAGGGTTTAGCTTTTAAATGCTTCAATATCTTTCATGGGGATTTAAGGAAGGTTAGGGCTCTTTGCGAAAAACTTCACTGAAATGTGATTAGTTGATTGGACTTTGGGGAAAACAAGAATCTATTTCACGACTTGGAAGGTGAAAATAATTTCACAAAGGAAATAGAAAGTATTCTTCGATTTTTTTCTTACCACAGAGAATGGAAGGCAACAAAGCCACCAAAACTAAAAGAAACTTCATAACTGCTCCCGCTTTACGTCAGCGTGGTAACGAACCACTGAAGATTCGATCGGTGCTGGATTTCCAATTTGTCGGCTTTTATACTTTTCACTAAAATAACATCAAAGAATAGGATTCATTATTTTTGTGGAGAGAAAAATCATATTAATCAAGCCTAACGAGCTCCATCTAATGAAGGGGAGAAAAGATAAATAAATATTTTAGAAAGTAAACCTTGCTTAATCAGCACCGTATATGGAGGAGTGAGAAACAAACCATGACGCATGCTTGGCAAACTCTTTCTTTCTTTTTTCATTCTGATAGTTTTTAACAAAATCTGAAATCATTTTTTCAATTTTATTATCATAACAGATTCTTTTTCAGTTCTATTGCGGGATTTACATCGAGTTGGCTTTCAAGGCACACTTCTACTGACAGGTCTAAGTTTGCCTTCGCAGTCTCAATTTTTGTTTAAGAAAACAAGCAACGGATATTGTGAAGAGTTGTGTGTTTTGCGTCTTTGTTAGTTATTAACAGTATTACACAAACACTGATCAATACTAAATACTGTATTTATTTTGACATTCAGTCGCTGATTTTGGTATAAGAAGTTGTTTGCTTTAATCTGGTTAAATTGTTATCCCATTTATTTTCATTACTTGCTTATAGCAAAACTTTACTGACAATTTGATCTGTTTTGTCTATGTTAATGTTTTGTCTTCGTTGACGATTTACTCTGTTAAGGACGCTGGAAAGTGTTTTGTGCCTTCACATTATAAACTAAAAAAATTATTATGGGTATAATATGACAGCAAGTGAACCCGGAAAGCCAAAGACCAAACCAAAGATCACAATGAATATGAAAAAAGGAATAAAGGAAAAAGAAAAAGAAAAAGAAAAAGAAAAAAAGAAAAACAATTCTGTAAGAGTGAACTATTTTACAATTTTTTCTTTTTTTGTCAAAAAGAAGATTACGATACCAAGTTTAAATATTCCGGTTTTTAAAAAATTTCACTATTTGGTTCCTGAATTATGATTTTTTAAATAAACATCTTCGATGGCATACCAAGGGTTCTGATGTTGTCATAGCAACGTCTTATATCATTTTTTCATGTTCATTGTGATCTTTGGTTTGGTCTTTGGCTTTCCAGGTTTATTTGCTGTCATATTATAGCCACAATAATTTTTTTTAGTTCATAATCAGTGAAGGCACAAAACACTTTCCAGCCTCCTTAAAAGGAAGAGGAAAACATGTAGGTGATCCTTCTTTTCATTGTCTGCTTAAGTCTTTACTTTCATTTCTTTTCTTCAGTAATATAACATTTTTTGTACTACATTTTTTTCATCTTTTCTTTCTTCATTCTTGTCTGTTCTCCTTACTCAATGTGTATAGTACTTTCCTAGTGTTATCGTCTAAGGTTGATAAAGATTGTGGATGTAATAAGAACTTCTGGCGTGATTATTGAGAATTGTTCAGGTAAGGCTTCAAAGAACACCCAAAACAAACTTGTCAACTCCTCTAAAAAACACGCCTAATTATTGGAAGATCTCACCGCACTCAATATACGACATGCAATATCTGTGTTTCAATTTTTTAACTAGTTTGGATCACAGATAATTGGTTATTTCTAATTGAAATGAGGAATATCGAGAATGATTAATGAGGATTTCAGATATGATAATTAATACTAAAATTATAAAGCGCTTTATACAATATTTGAAGTATAACGCTCGCGCTGATTGGCTGTCTAGCGTTGGGCGGCTTTAAAGTCTATTATTCGAAAAGTCTTTTATTCGTCTACCGCGCTCGTGTTCCTAAGCTTGCATTGTCGTGCTCTACAGCTTCCAGCGAATATATATATACATATAAATATATAAAAATGATATAATCCTAGACAATAGATAATATAAACTGATACCACAACTATAAAATATGTCTTTGATAGTGTTTTTGTTGTTGTTGTTGTTGTTGAAAGATTCAAAGTTAGTTTTTAAGCGAAGATATTAATTCTGATAGCTTGAATTATTTTCATAAATATGGAGCAGCGAGGATGGAACTGCACCCACCAAAAGTAGATGACTTAGCATTAGGGATTACAAGAAAATTCTTCCTATCAGCTCTGGTTGCCTGGTTTGGCGCTTGTGAATCAGATCAGCAAGATAAACAGCAGCGGTCCCGTGCAGGTACTTGAAGGTCAGCAATAGTATCTTGTATTCGATCCTTCTCCTAACAGGTAACCAATGGAGATCACGTAGAACTGAGGTTATACTGCTCATACGTTCTGGTCCCAGTAACTAACCTTGCTCTGGGGCGGGTCAAGGGAACCCCCTAAATCGTAAACAAACCCCCATAAATGAGCCATCTTTATTTTACCGAAACTCCTAAATGTGAATGAAAAGCACGAAGGCAATTGTATTATCTTGAATGAATCTTCAGTGGCTTTGGCTAGCCAATCTGGAATCTGTCTTTCTTTTTTCTCTTTTTATTTTCTTTAGGGCAGTGAATGTATTTAAATCAGTTATCTGGCAGTCTATTGAGATATTTTTGTATGGGTGAAGAACAAGCGTTTTTCCGTTTGTACTATGCCGTGGTTATGGTTCACATATCGTGATTTACTTACAATACACAAGGAATCTGCGGTCCGGAAAAAAATCAGTTTCAATTTTGCATTAAGTAATTAAAGTTAAGTTTGCTTATTTCTTTACCACATACAGCACATAGCCAAGCAGTTAGCTGGATAATTGCCGGCTTTAATGACGTACAATTTTAAGGTGAATGCAAAGTCTCTTCAAGTTGTCCCGAGCACAATCAATTCATTTTTGTTTGAAATTTTGCGACATTCGCGCTAAAAGCCGTTCCAAATAATGGAACTTTGCTTAAGGGAAGGGGAATAAAGCAATTTCTTAAACTTAGGTGAATAAACAAGGTTTTAAAGGTATAATTGTCCGGCAAAAATCAAAGCGACTTAAACTGTGTATTTCTTACCTATAAAACGTTAGGTATATACTGAAAGTCCTGATATTGCCCCAGTGCGAGTTCCAGATCAGCAGCTTACAGGTTTCCCGGCAAATTTTAGCTGAATCAAATCAAATTGTGAGTCCAAAGGCCGGAACCATCGTGTTATCAATACGGGGGAAGTTAGGGATGCTCTAAGTAAATATTCAACATTTTGGTTTGGAATTTGAAGTGTATGAGAGTATGAATTGTTTAGATGTACTTGGAATATGCAAAGAAACGGTTAAATGCCAAGGATTTAAAAAACATCAAAAGCAAAAAATGAAATATAATAAAAAGTTTTTTCTTTTGTCTAATTTTTTTTGACACACTTTTTCGAAAAAACGCGATTCTGCAAAAGACGCATGAGCGACCTGGTGCTGTCGGGAAATGAGTGTGCCAAAGTGTTGATAGCTGCCGTTTCCTACCTGTTTCATAGCTGTGGTTCTTTGTCATAGCTTCTAAAATCCATTTAAAAGAGCCTTTTTGATCTTTTTTCCCTTAGAGGATATCATTATTTTTGGCGTTCATAAAAGATACAGAAGTATTGACATTTCTAGTGTGCAAATATTACATTTTGAACCGTAATTAGCATTGACAAACATTCCACAAGCAGCCTAATTTTACATCCAACTCCCACATGTCTGATCTAAATGCATTCAACAATATATCTGCCGCTAAGCTTTTTTTTTCTTTTTGGTTTTCTGTTCGTCTCGTTAATCAATTACCGGGGTCTTCAGTGTTAAATTGGGAGTAATAATAGCAGAGTTCGAACTTCAATCGTTCCTAACGATCCCTTGTGAGTAAATAGCCATCATTACTCCGGAAAAGTCCGGCTTGGCTGGGTTTTCCGGCCACAATTTGTTTATCTTCGCATTTCAAATATAATCAAGCCACAAAAAAGGACTAACAATCTATCCAGAGTCAAAATCACTAATCAAAAAAACTCTTTATTCGATTTTTTTGAGAGTCTTATTTTGCCACAACAATATCTATGTTATTCACCGGCCAGGAGGTCCGGATAGAGAAAAACTGTGCCCGAGGTCTTGAATGTGAGACGGAACGAGGCCGTTTGGTCTAGGTCCGTTTTCAAGGTCGAGGGCAATCCGTTATCCCATGCCCGCGCGAACGAATGATGTAAGCCCTACGTCAGGACACCAGACCGCGGGCAGACAGAAAAGACAAAATATCGGCTCCCGCTTGCGCAGCCAATCAGAGTGCACGAATTTTAGGATACCGGACAGGAAAAAAATAACACAATTTTCCGTAAAGACGTGGTGCTTGAGGACCTGTTAAGTCATTTTTGGTCGAGTTCGGCTACTTGCAGGTAGACTCATTTCCTCACTCAAAAATGAAGCTAACTATAGTCTTCCTTTTAGCGCTTCTCTCTCTGGCTATTGCTGGTAAGTTCGGATAAAGTACACTGATTTGATACTATAATGAATGTAATAATTTTTTATTATTCTATACATTTGAACAAGCAAAAATTCGTGCAGAAAGAGAGAAATTTTTTCTAACACAAAAGAAAATAAGTACTTTCAAATTCAAAGGTTGCATTTTAAGAATTTGAAATAAGTTCAAAGATGTCCAGTTCCGCCCTTTGTCTCGTTTACCTGTTCACGGGATGTTAAATCTCTACGAATTTATTCACATGTAACCTAGGCTATCCATTTTTATAAGAAAATGTAAAGTAGTAAATTCGATTTTGCTAAAATTTTGTGGGTTTCGCTAAGATTTTGGAAATAAAATTTCGAGTATATGAAAAAGAGTCCAAGAGTCCTAGAAGGTAAGTCGATGCGAAAATCGACTTCTAAAAATCAGTCGCTATTTAATACCACTTGCCAACATCTTGGAAGGATACGACGGCGTTACTTCAAAGACCAACATGATCTGGAAACTGATTGGAAGAATTCCAACAAAAGGGCATTCAAAATTTTATGGGTACTCTCCCATAGTCAAAAATTTGAATGCCCTTTTGCTGGAATTCGTACAATGAGCTTCGAGATTATTTTGGTCTTTGACTTACCTTTTAGGACTTTTTGGACATCCTTTTTTGCCTTATGGGTTTAAATCTGGGAGAGACCGCGTTTTTGGTCAAAAAATGGAGCTGAATTAAGTAGAGTGACTTGGAGCCGTTGGAATACGCCGAAGTTTCCAACATTTAGATTATATAGGGGAGAAAAGTGGAGGGGTACCTAAAATGGCTAAAAAACGCGTAAAATCAAAAACTTTTAATACAAGACGGTAAGTATATTTCTTTTTTTTATATATATATTCCCAAAATCTTAGCGAAACCTACAAAATTTTAGCTAAATCGAATTCACTACATAAATTTTCTTATAAAAGTGGAGAGCCTTGGTTAGCTGTTTTTTCATATCAATGATTTATTCAATACGTATTCGAATCTTCGTTCATCGTCCAAGTTAGATCTTTCTCGTCCAAGTTAGATCTTTCTTTTTTCAAGTATTTGACCCGAACAATAAATTTCTAATTACATCTTGGTATTTACTCTCTCTAAAAGTTCACTGTTTGAACTTTGTTGTCTTGTATGATTTTAGATAATAGCGAACAGAACTTCTTGTCTACCCTTTCACAGTTTACCAAAGACAGACAGGAGGCCATCGACCAAGGCGTTGGTACATTATATATTTTTAGTCTCCCCGATTAGTAGGG